CATTCATACTCATTAGCTGGGAGCCACAATGATGACAACATGTATTGGGATAAACATATCTAAACTTTTATAGACAGTATTTTGTAGTATATAGACCTACATGGTACTGAGTAGTAGTTACTCTTTTATGTAGTTAGTTGCTCTGTAGGAAGTATCCCCAACGTTGCCCTTAATATTTTGGAAGACTGTACTAGTATTTTATCTATATGTAATTATGAATGTTTACTTTTATTATTTTTTAAAATGATGAAATGCAGGAATGAATTATTGAAAATTTATATATTGATATTATGTAAGAGGAAAAGATTATTATCGGTTAAAAAAAAAATTCTACTAAAAATTATTAATTCTTCTGATTGAGGGTTTATAAAGTAGGGTGTTACATTATATATTACTCAACTCTTTTATATTATAGTCAATTTAAGATGTTACATTTGAATTTTAACACTCTTGTGAATTTCTTATATGAGAAAATAAGTAGTTATCAAATACTTTAATTAAAAGATAAAAATATTAATATATTCTAGTAAGATCATAAGAATGTTAAATAAAAAAATATATTATAAAAATATTCATGCATAATAAACTGTGATAGTCATAGTTTATTTTTTTTTTCATTTCTTTCCACGTTCATTTTAAATAATAACGATACATGTCAGAATTATAAAAAATTAATTGACTCACTCACAATAAATATATTTTTATTTTTAATTTTAATAGTATATATTATAATTTTGGTTCCGTTTGATTTGGATTAATTCCTAATTATCAAATCAAAAATCCAATTGATCAATCATAAAAGTTGTACTTCATAAAATCCAAAAAAAAATATTATCTATTTTAAAATTTGTAGATTGATTTTCGATTTTATTTTTATATTAATTCATTCTTTAACACTTATAACTAGCATCGACATATGGTTTTAAGCATAAATGAGAATAAGATATATGAGTCATGAATCGGCTTAATATTGTATTGAGAAATTAAATATTAAATCTAATGATATTGTATATGAACTTGGATCATTAAATAAATCTCATGTTGAATCAAATAGTTTAGAAGAAGGAAGCATGACACTAATAACATGTTTACTCCTTACTAAGATGTTATTCAAAATTAAACCAAGGTAATAATATTTAAGTTGATTTAGAATAATACCTTTACTAGATCAAGAAATTCCTAAGCCTATAAAGTAATTTTTCTCCCATTTCCCCTTCCAAAGTGGTCATCAAATTCTCTGTTGTTGTCACCACCTCACCGATAAGGTGGTTTAAAAATATCGTTGATTGAATGCAAACAATTTTGATTGCACATACTAGCAAACATCTCACTTGTATCTTGGGTGATAATTTCTTCATTCAAAATAGAATCACTAAACTCAGGTCTTGTTCAACTATTAAAGAAAAAACACATGTAATGGATGGAATCAAATCCAAAAACATGATTTGAGAGCAAACTTGACAATATTGTTCATTCAAACATAGTAAGAATCTAACTGTATAACTTGATTCTTGACATGTTCTCATCCGATCAAAAGCACCATAATAACATACAAGATTACAAGAACAAATTGGAATAGGTTCTAACACAGTTCTTTTCAAAGTTCTTTCATATTATTCTAATACGGTGAATTTTCCTTGCTTACATTGATAAAAAAATATATAAAATAAATTTATTCATCTTTAAACAAAAAAAAATACTACACAAGAATTTATACTAGAAAACGGAAAGAAGAGAAACATGAATACAATTGTCAATAAGTATTAATATAAGAAAATAAAATAAAATAAAAAGTAATTAATTCAGTAAATTAAGAAATAATTATAATAGAATCATAAATCACAAAGTCATTTTCGAGTAATATATGAAAAGTTATAAAAAATATAAATAAATGAAGTGTAGGGCAAGATATTAAAAAAATCTTAAAAATTGAAAAAAAAAAAAAAACCCCTGAAATTCTCAGATCGGAGATAGCCGTTTGTTTCCCATGCTGTTTCATTCTGTGTGCATAATGTGTTTTGAGTAGATAGGTGTGTTTGGATTTTCGTTAGATCATGAATGAACGAAAGCAATATCCTTTTTAATACATGCATAAAGAAATGACGTGAGTGTTGGATTGAATTGAAGACATAAAACTAAAATCCAAAGGTTTAGGGGATCGATAGCAAATCAATACATCTAAGCATGTTATGTTGGTCAAACCACACAAATAACATGTTGGTGGTGTAGTGCACCTTTGTTCGCCTCAGACTGTAAAATCTATTATCCCATCTCAGTCTTAGTATACATACAGTTACCAAAATAAACGCCTGAATGAATGGCATTGCAGTGTCAAATTTCAGAACAGTACTAGTCGCCTAACCTAATTTGCTTATCGTTTCTTATACACCAAAAATGGAAAGCCATGACAGGTATTATTGAACTGGATCTGTGCAGCTTCTGTTCTCATTTCTCATTTCATCAACAAACCACCATGGACGATTACAGCACTATACATTATGTATATACACAAAACACAGATTTGGATTCAGTGTTAGACTAGTGTCTTAGATTTTGAAGGAAGAGAAACCTGATTTTGAAAAGAGTCCAACAAGTGAAGAGGGTGAGCAGCAAGATGGGGAAAAGACTTGAGATTTGGTTGAGAAGCACCATGAGAGATCAAAAAGACCGCAACTTGCAAATGCCCAGCCTCGGCAGCACAATGCAGCGGAGTGTACCCAGCATCATCCACAGTATCAACCTCAGCACCGTGTTCAAGCAGCACCTTCACGCTCTTTATTCGACCCTTGAACGCAGCCCAGTGCAGTGGGCTCCACCCGTTCTGGTCCCTCCCGTTCACACTTGCTCCTTCCCCCAAACACCTCTTCACGCCCTGAACATCGTCCACCCTCGCCGCCCGCATCAGCGTGTCGCCCCAACCCAGCAAATCCACCAAGCGCGTGCGCACGGCGGAATGTTCACGCTCCGCCGCAACACAAAACGCCGTTCTCCCCTCCCTGTCCTTCACGTACTTCACGTTTGAGCATTCCAACAAACACTCCACGGCCTTCAAGTGTCCCTTCCACGCCGCGTAATGGAGAGGGGTCCACCCCTTCGAATCCGCAAAATTAGGGTTTCCTCCCATGGACACGCAGAACTGGATAACCCTCACGTGCCCCTCCCTCGCCGCCACGTGAATTGGAGTCCTCCCCTCCGAGTCCATCGAATCTACCTCCAACTCGTCGTCGCAACGCTCCAACAGAAACTCCATCACGTCGATTCGGTCCGTCGCCGCAGCCTCGTGCAGCACCGATTTCTCGATTTCGCAACCGGAAGCTTTCAGAAGCTTCACCACGTCGAGGCTTCCTGCCCTAATTGCGGGCGGCATGAGGGACTCCGCCGTCGCGGTTGCGTCTGCGCCGGCGTCGAGCAATTCCGAGACGGCGTCGGCGCTGCCGTGTTCGACGGCGGGTTTGAGCAGTCTCGTGAGCTGCGATTTCGTGCATGCGGATATGGCTTTGGTGAAGAGATTGCGGGGTTGTCGGGTTTGGGAGAGGAGGTATTCGGCGACGTGGGGACCGACAAGGGAGATGGTTAGCACGGCGTCGCGGAAGACGTGGGGGCCGGGTCTGGAGAAGAGGCGGCGGAGGTGATCCGCGGTGGCCTTGCCGGTGGGGAGCATGGTGGCACGGACGGTGATGGCGTTGGGAGGGTCGGAGAGAGGGGGTTGGTCGGAGGTGTGGGAGAGGTGAAGGATGTATGATGCAGAAGAGAGTGGTGGGATTGTGGAGAAGGGTTTGTTGATGGAGAAGAGAGATGGGTTTGTGGTGGTTAGAGACACTGCCACTGACATGGTGTGCATGAGGTTTGTGAGCTTGAAGGAGGAGCTGCACTTTTGGCCCTTTGAGAATATCACCTCCACTTCCTTTGCTTCGGCTTTCACCAGCCTGTCCATCCTCAATCTGCTTGCTTGTTAGCTTGATTGATAGATTCTGACTTTGAACTTTAAAGGGTTTTTGCTTGAATGAAGATGATTGATTTTCTTGCTGTTTGTTTAGTTTGTGTTTTTGAATTGATTATTAGACAATGATTTGTTAATATATGTGTAGCATGCTTGTTGGTTGGGTGTGTGACCGTGACAGGGAAGGTGGCAGTGGGAGACGTTGACAATGACTCTGAGAGAATGGAGAAGGATGAAATAGTCCTGCTACACTTTTGAATATGGAGAAGCAGCATTTTCAGCGAAGACTCTAGACTCAAGAATGTTATTGTTATTCAATTGCATAGGACGCGGACAAGGTAAAGAGTTACCTGATTCGAAAGAATGTATTTTGCTGATTGATTTTCCTCTAAGACCTACTATTCTGGATGAAAAGTTAGTTTTATTCATTCATTTTTTACTGTCCCATTCAATTTCAATATATAAATGTTTAGAATGGAAATATCTCTCATCCAGTTTTTCAATACGTTGGGCACGGGTGAGGGGGGAAATAATAAACCTCCCTGGCTGATAGGATTGGATTTGATTGGATTGTCATGCTACCAGTATTATGCCCTCTGAAAGTGAAAACAGGGCATCGCGTGTAACCCTCTGATTATATTCTCTCCACATACAGTTTTTGGCCCTATCTGAAGGCAGTGGTTGCAATTAAATACAATGACGTTATTCTCAGCAGCCATGTGTCAATTCTTTTTATTATTACGAATAAGAATATTAAATTCAGTGTATCAATGAAATATTCCAGAATTTCCTCCTACGTGATGCAAGTCTTTCTTCTTATTGCTACCTGTGCAGAAAATCCACGCTGTACGAATGATTGGGTCTGAACAAATTGGCAGGTATACAAGGCAGCTTTTAAGCAGTTGACCCGGCAATCCAAAGTATTTCTTACATTTGTTACATTTGTTTGGTGAATCATAATCTGACATGTGGTTTCTTTTCTATTTGGGTGAGCATCACAATCCTTTCTTGTGCAGTGTTGTTTTAATCCTAGAATTTGGCAGATAACTAGTAAGTAATGTCATTTATTTGCCAGAAGTGTTTTTTGAATTTGTACTGGAATAGATGGCAACTTTTGTTCAATCTTGGCTTTGAGGCAAAGGCTGGATAGGAGACAAAACTTATAGATTCATTATGAAGGCCTCCTGGATATGATTATTTCCCATGAAAGCGCTGAAATAAAGTACCAGGTATGCTTTTAAAACTTTAAATTCAAAAGTTTAAATTATTTTATATAAAGTTTAATTTTACGAATTATTTGCAAAGAATGTTAATATTAATTAAACAAATTTAACCATTAATTACAAAAGATAGATATTTACGCATTTCTACATTATTGTAAATTAATGTGTTTAGAAGATAAAAATAAAATTCAATATGGAAATTATATTCTTAAGTATTTCATAAATATATCATACTTTATAATTCAAAACCTCAATTACAACTTTAAATATTTAATAAAATAAAGTCTGAATTAAATTAAAGAATGAAAATTATCGATATTTTAAAATATCTAAATTTTATTTAACTATATTATTATTGATTTCGATACTAATATTTTAGTTTATGTAATAAAAAATAATTAAAAAGTATGAAGACTTCACGATAAATAAATATAAATTTAGATAAACAAAAATATTTGAAAACTATTAATCGGAAACTGACAAGACGTTGTTTCAAGAAATAATATTTTACAATGAGCAATTTGAAGAGAGTACGTGAATAAGTTTTGTACTGTGCGTGGAAATGCTTCATAAATAATTTCAATATTGAATTCAAATAAAATTATAATTTTATTTTATATGCAATAAACTATTATTATTAATCGTTGGAAGAAGTAAGGCAAGGGATACTTCAGGTATTATATAAAATTCCGAAAGAAAATATAAGATGTGAAAAGTAAAAAGGGGTACAAATAGAAACCCCCTTGGGGCTTGGTTTATAATGCATGAAATTTGGTCCAAGCCCACTATTACGTATTTTGGTAATGAGTAAATGTTCAAACAAGAAAATAAAAAATAAATAAAATAAAGCTCCACGTAGTCTTTTTCAGTATTATTAAAGTATTTGAGTTTTTTTTTTGTCATTTGTTACTTTTTAATTATATTCAATAAGTTTTGTAACATTTATTGTTGTTAATATTATATTTTTTCAGGACTCTCTTTGAATTCTTCTCTAATAACTAAAAGAAAAAAATCAAAATCAAAATCAAAAGCACAAAATTCAAAAGAATAATAATATTAAAGGTTTTTTAGGGCCAATAATAATAGCCAAGATATGTAAAATTGGGTTAGTGTTTTAGGCACATTTTTCTGCACCATCCATCCCATATTTACTAAAAAAAATGACGTTATTTGTATTTTAGAGTTTTCGGATTAATAAATATAAAAAAAAACTCCAAAATGATAAATTTGAAATGTACAGCGTTCTTTTAAATTTCGAATTATTCTGATTTAGTAAATCCAAAAAATATTCCGATTAGTGAATTTAAAAGTTTCCAAATTTAACAATCCAGACATTCTTTTAAAAAGTTCGAAATTGTTGAAGCCGAATTTTTTCTAGAGATCTGGAAACGTGCAATTGAATTTGAATTACAATTTAAAACCAATTTGAATGATAATGATAATAATAATAAAAAAATAACAACAAATTATCAATAATAATTAAAATAAATATTGTTTAAGATAATAATAATAATATAACTAATGATAAAATATTATAATAAATAATATTTATTTGATTTTGTTTTTTTATTTATGTTGTTATCTGAGTTGAGACTAATATTGGAGTTTTTTTAGTTTAAGAGCGAGAGGGTGGGTATATCTATGAAAAGTTACCCTATGGTTAAAGTTAGTATGTAAAATATAATTAGTGAAGAAACACATAAACTTTTATAGAATAATATTAATTATGTCCGAAAATTAACAGATACTTTATAAAATGTTTCGAATATTTTAAATGGTATGAGATAATCGTGTAAATATCTTATTTTTCATATGATACGTGTTCGGATATTACAGACAGTAATGCTGTAACTCTTTTTTTAGGATGACACCCTATAATTTCTATTGTTTCTTATTTTTTAAATTATTTAATTTATTTTCTATTCTTTTTATTATGATAAGTTTTATTCCAGGGTGTTCCAGGATTAATATGTTGTATTTATATAATTTATTATATATATATATATATATATATATATATATATAAATTATTATTCTTTATTTGTTATAAATTAACATTAATCAATAAATTTATTATTTTTAATTATCAATTATATTACACATCATCATTTTCATAAATAATAATTTAATTTGGGTTTTCGATGAATGGTCCGTGATGGGTTGGATTGTTCAAAATCAGTTACTTATTGAGACCTCCCTAGTCTCTGTCGATAGGTGGATAAAAGCTGATATCATATTAGTCAGCTTTACGTGTGACAATAAAAATCACTTTACACACTACGTTCAAAAGTAACCTATCAAGATGAGAGCAATATTCTCTCATACACGCTCTATGGATCCTGCAACGATTCCGGGTACACAATCTTTCTACTCTTTTGAATATATTATATTTATTGTATCTTATATTGTTATGTGTTTCACACAATTGGCATAAGAACTTCTAAGATACAGAATATAATTGTTCATTAATTTTAAAGAGTGTATCATAAATTTTAATAATTGTTTATTATCAAAAGGCATGAAAATTGGTAAATTTAACTTTCTCATTTGAATTCAAATTCATTGATTAAGGAGTGAATTTCAAAATTCCTTTCTGGGCTACTTGAATTGTGATTAGAACTCTAATTAAATAAAATTCCCAATTTTTCATTAACTCTAATTTTTCAATTTAAACTCTCTTGAATCCCCAATTTTCATCAACCCTAATTTTTCAATTTGAACTCTTTTTGAACCCAAATTTTGAAACCCCTTTCTGTAACAATTCCGGTTGCATTCCTGAATCTGGGATTTTCTGGGTTGTTCGCATTCGCGCCGGTCACCGGTAATGGTTTGCTCATGGCGGTGCGACGACGAAAGGGTGTTACGGTGGTTGTTCGTGTCTTGTTCGCAGTGGTGGAGAAATGACGTTTGAGCCGCTGCCTGGTGGCACAAAGTGGTTCGTTGCGGCGCTGGTCTCTCCGTCGTGGTGGCACGCAGCGATCTGCATTGGTCACTTCGTCGAGACGTGCGTTGTCTTCTCGCGGAGGCGCATCTGGTTCTCATGGTGGTGGGCCGTTTGTTCATGGTGGATCTGTGTTTTGTGCCACTGATTAATAGCGACGATGTCGTAATGGTGATCAACAGTGCACGTTTTCAGTGACTAAGCGGTGCATGTTTTCACTGTGTTCGTACATGTGCAATTCCAGTTTCATGGATGTGGCTTTACACGTTGTGGGCGTGTCTAGTTCTAGTTTCACTGTTTTCCCTGTGTACGAGTGGGCGTGGAAGAGAATTCAACGTTAAATTCCACTAATATATTATTTTGTTTTTATAAAATTATATATATAATAATAAGAAAAGATGAATTTGAAAACAAATAGTATTATTATGTTTTTCTTAAATTTTTTATTATGAAGAAAATTGGATCATGAGGTTATGTGAATGGGCTCATACATATTCTTGGCTGAGGAAAGTCCCGGGCCTGATCCGTAGAAATAAGGACCCTTAAAGGGTACCTTTGACCTTAGAACTTGTCTTTGATTTTTGGACTAAGGGACTGAGACACATGTGAGCCTTATCTTGTCCATTGAATAACTTATTATTATTAATTCATGCATCACATAATTTCTTTTTCTCTTCTTCTTTTGTTAAACATAATATAATTTTTTGTTAAGCATAATATAATTTTATATGATTGTAAACTCACCTATTGTGGGTATAGTTGTATAAAATTTTGTGAACATAAAATAATTTAATTATTTTATTTAATTTTATATTACATTAATATTAATTATGCCTTATCGGTATTTTATTGTTAATGATTTTTTTTCAATGTAATTCTAAATTTTATTATGTCAATTATTTGTCTTGTACCTTATCGGTATTAGATTTCTTGTGACATGAGATATGCATTGTATTCTTATTTTTATTTTAATTATATTTCTTATTTATTATGACTCGGGACCCTTAGACAGGGTCATAGTGAATGAGAAATTTGATATCATAGGCATGTTTTGTTGTGTATTTAGAGACATTTATTTTGTTTATTTGCACAATAATTAAGCGTATTAAATGTCTCTTTGATATTTTGATACCAGCTTCTTTGCCTATGCAATTGACTTCGGTCAAAACTTTAAATGGGACAAATTTTGAGGATTGGAAAGAATATCTGGATTTGTATTTGGCAATTACCAATATGGACCTTTGTTTGAGAGAGAACGAGCCTGCAGCTCTTACTCCTGAGTCCACTACTGTCCAAAGAGCTTATCGTGAGAAATGAGAACACTCAAATAGGGTGTGTTTGATGGTGATGAAATACACCATGGAGAAGTCTATTCGACAAAACATTCTGGATGATGATAATGCTAAGGTTTTTCTGAGATCAGTGGGTGAGAAGTTTAAGACTTTTGACAAAGCTTAAAAGGGTCAATATCTGTCACTTCTTGAGAAGACCAAATATGATGGTGTCAGTGGTGTTCGTGAGCATATGATGAAGCTTGTGCACTATTATAACAAACTCAAATCTTTAAAGGTGGAGTTTGGTGACAGTTTTTTGATTTGGCAGGTTATGGAATCACTTCCTTCTCAGTTTGATGTGTTGAAGACTTCTTACAACGCTCAGAAGGAGGAATGGACAATTGATGAGATGATAGCTATTATTTCCCAAGAGGAAGAATCTATTAAAAAATCCAAGCCGCATAGTGTGCAATTCACAACTATTACTTCAGGTACTAAACCTGTTAAAAAGGGTTTCAAATGCAAATCTCGCCATGAAAAGAGGAACATAGGGAAAGCATCAGTAGGTTTGGAGCCTAAGAAGAAGTACTTTAAGGGGAATTGTGCCTATTGTAAGAAATTTGGGCATAAGCTAACTGACTGTTATATTCTTAAGAAGAAGAATGTTGATAAGGAAGGTAAGCACATGCATGTTCTAGCTTGTTTTGAAACCAATGTTGTTGATGTTCCTCCCAATTCTTGGTGGTTTGACTCGGGTGCTACTATTCATATTGTGAATTCTTTACAGGGGTTCACAAGCCCGAGAAAACCAAGTGACCTTGAATCCAAGATTATCATGGGAGATGGAGCTAGAGCACAAGTTGAAGACATAGGAGTAGTGTCTTTAAATTTACCTTCTGGACATGTTTTGTTATTGAAAGACGTTGTTTATGTACCTTCTATGCGAAGGAATTTAATTTCAGTTTCAGCTTTGGATAAATGTGGTTACACTTTTGAATTTGGCAATGACAAACTTGCTATTTATTTCAATTCAATTATTGTTGGCTTATGAGTTTTATGTGATGGGCTTTACATGTTAAATCTGAATGACATGTCTATTAATTTTATTGTTGGACATAAGCGTAGTAGAGTTGATGAAAATTCCTCTATGTTGTGGCATAGATGTCTGGGGCATATTTCTAGACCTCGGATTGAGAGGTTGATTAAAGAGGGTATTCTGCATGATCTGAATTTTTCTGATTTTGATACTTGTGTTTATTGCATTAAGGGCAAGTTTACTGCAAAAGTAAGAAATGCAGGTGCAAACAGGTGTGATGATGTGTTGCAACTTATTCATACTGATATGTGTGGACCTATGACACCCATTTCCATGGGTGAATACAGGTATTTTATCACGTTTATAGACGATTATTCCATATTTGGATGGATAGATCTCCTACAAGAAAAGTCAAGTTCCTTGGATGCTTTTAAGTCCTTCAAAGCTGCTATTGTGTTGAAAACTGGAAAGAAGATAAAATGTGTAAGGTCTGACAGAGGTGGAGAGTATTATGGCAGATATGATGAGACTGGAAGAAATCCAGGACCTTTCGCTAGATTTCTTAATGAATGTGGTATTGAAGCTCATTATACTATGCCCGGTACTCCTCAGCAAAATGGTGTTACAAAAAGGAGGAATCGCACTCTTCTAGATATGGTGAGATGTATGTTGAGTCATTCCTCTTTACCGAATTTCCTTTGGGGAGATGCTTTAAGGACTGTTGTGTATATTCTTAATCAAGTACCTAGCAAGTCTGTTTCAAAGACTCCTTATGAGCTTATGACTGGGAAGAAGCCAAGTTTAAGACACTTTCATGTGTGGGGTTGTAAGGTAGAGATGATACCTTATAATACTCAATTGAAAAAACTTGATCTTAAGACTATCAGTGGATTCTTCATTGGCTATTGTATCGGTTCTCGTGGTAGCAGATTTTACTGCCCTTCTCACTCTATTCGGGTTATTGATTTTGACCGTGCGATATTCTTTGAGGATGATTTGGACAGTGGGAGCAGTGCGCCACAACCAGTCACTCGTAGAGAAGACCGTGTTGTTGTTCCCGTACCATCCATTTTTTTCATGCAGATAATGTGATTCCAGTTGTCCGTGATGAAAATGATTCGGTTCCAGATTTTGTTGATGCTACATCACATGTAGTAGATGAACAAGTTCATGATGATGTGACTAAAGAGGTTCCTTTGAGGAGATCTCAAAGATTACATAAGTCTTCTATACCTGATGATTATCAGGTGTATCTTCAAGAGCATGAATATGATCTTAATGATGTTGATGATCCTATTACTTTTAAAGAAGCTATCTCTAGTTCTCATGGTTCTGATTGGTTAAATGTTATGCATGATGAGTTAGCTTCTATGGCCCCATAATGGAGTTTGGGATCTTGTGGATTTGCCACTCGGTTGCAAACCAGTTGGGTGTAAATGGGTCTTCAAGACTAAGCGTAATCCAAATGGAAAAGTTGAGAGATATAAAGCCAGACTTGTAGCAAAAGGTTATAGTCATAGGGATGACATTGGTTATAAAGAGACTTTCTCACCGGTCTTTACTAAGGATGCTTTTTGTGTGGTTATGGCTTTAGTATCTCATTTTTATTTGGAGCTTCATCAAATGGATGTCAAAACAACTTTTCTTAATGGAGATTTATTTGAGGAAGTGTATATGATTCAACCTGATGGTTTTGCTAAAAAAAACAATGAGCATTTGGTTTGCAAGTTAAAAAAGTCCATTTATGGGTTGAAACAAGCTTTTAGACAATGGTATTTGAAATTTGACCAGGTGGTCACTTCTTTTGGCTTTAAGGAAAACGCCTCGGATCAATGCATTTACTTGAAGAAAAATGAGAGTCATTTCATCATTCTTGTCTTATATGTTGATGATATTCTTCTTGCGAGTAGCAGTGTTGAACTTTTGGCTGAGACAAAGTCTATATTAAATAGTCATTTTGATATGAAGGACCTTGGTGATGCTTCTGTTGTTCTGGGCATTCAAATTTTTTGTGACAGGTCACGTGGCATTCTTGGATTGTCTCAAAGAGGATATATTGATAAAGTCCTTAAACGGTTTAACATGCATTCTTGCTCCTCATGTGTAGCACTTATTAAAAAAGGTGATAAACTCTCTAAATCTCAATGTCCTAAAAATGATAATGATAGAATTGAAATGGAAAAAATTCCATATGCTTCCGCTGTTGGTAGTTTAATGTATGTTCAAGTTTGTACTCGTCCCGATATTGCTTTTGCTGTTAATGCTTTAGGAAGATACTTGAGCGACCCGGGTTTGGGTCATTGAAAAGCCGTTAAAAAGGTCTTTAGATATTTGCAGGGAACTAAGGATTACATGTTGACCTATAAGAAGTTTGATCAGCTTCAAGTCATTGGTTATTCTGATTCTGATTTTGCTGGTTGCCCTGACGATCGAAAATCTACTTCTAGTTTTATATTTAAGTTGGCAGAAGGAGCTATTTCTTGGAAGAGTGTTAAACAAACTCTTACAGCTACTTCTACTATTGAGGCAGAATATGTTGCTTGTTTTGAAACTACTTGTCAAGTTATGTGGCTTAAAAAATTGGTTTTCGGCTTTCAAATTGTTGAAAGTATTTCTAGGCCACTTGTGATATATTGTGACAACACTGCTGCCAGTAAATTTTTCTCAAAACAACAGAAGTTCTACTCGCTCAAAGCATTTTGATATAAATTTTCTGTTTGTTAGAGAGAAAGTTTTGGATTTTCAAACTCAGATTGAACATACTGCTACAGAAAATATGTTAGCAGATCCACTTACTAAAGGCTTAGCTATT